GGGGGGGAGGAGTGCCGCCCACAAAAAAGGATATGAAAGAGCGGTACAGCGCGGAGGATGAAAAGTCTGTCCAAAGGCATTCAACATCGATCGTCTGGATACAATGCTCCTGGGTTCATAATGTTGAGAGGGTCCAGCGTGCGCTTTAGCGTACGCAAGAGGTCCACGGTGCCTTTGCCAAGCTCGCGCTCGAGCAGATCTCGCTTGCCTCTACCAATCCCGTGTTCCCCCGTGCACGTCCCTCCCAACGCTTGTGCGGCGTGCGCAAACTGTCGGACGGGTGGGAGAAAAGGCGCGCAAGTAGTAGTAGAGAAAAATGTCAAGTGTGTGTTGCGTGGGAAAGGCGGGCGGGAAAATTTTCGCAACCGCGCCGCTCAAAGTCGCCCTGCTCGCAGTGCGCGCTCGCACTCACAGAGTAGACCAACTGCTTGACACGCTTGACCTCTTCTGGCTTGCTCTCGTCGAACATCAGCAACGAGTGGACATTGCCATCGCCGCTGCATCGAATTGGCAGCCGTGGGCGGGGGCGGGGGTGGGTGGTGCAGAGCGAGTCAATCATCCGAAATTACCGCTCGGCTCGAGCAAGGAAAGGTGGCATGCCTGTGCTCTATCGCGTATCGTTCGACTTTTTGCCCTCACCCCCCGCAAAATCCTTCTCCACAATTCCACAATTCCACCCTCCCTTCCTCCTCCCCCCCTCCTCTCCACTCACACGTGACCGACAATGGGACCATAAATGCCAGCATCGTTCGTCTCCTGCTTGACGCGCTTGACCAATTGCGGCAATTTGGAAATGGGCACGCACACATCCGTAGTCCAGCACCTCTTGCCCTCTCCCGCAAACTCCAAAGCGGCCCAAAGCGCCTGCTTCCTAGCGCTCCACAACTCCTCCATCTCTGCTTCTTTGCGCGCAAATCGAGCTTCTCTATTCGCTCCATATTTGGAAGCGACGATGCTCAACAACCTCTCATCCTCTGTCCTGTGCGCATCTGTACCTGCAAATTTGACAAAGAGCGTAGGTTCGAGAGGATGCGGTGCGGCTTGCTCGTCGTCGTCGTCGTCGCCGTCGCCGGCATTGATGGCTCGAATCATCGCTTCGTCCAGCAGCTCGACGCACTGCACATTAGCACCGGTATTGAGCAGCGCATGAGCAGCCGAAACGGCATTCTCGACGCTAGGAAAAGAGACGCAAGCAACGCTGATGGGCAGCAGCGGAGCCAAACGCAGCGTAGCGCCCACGATCAATCCCAACGTCCCTTCGCTGCCCAGGAACAATTTGGTCAGATCCGGTCCTGCGCTGGATTTGCGAGCTCGACTTCGCGTTCGTATCACCTCGCCAGATGCCAGCACCACGTCCAGCGAGAGCACATAGTCGCCCTTCATCGTGCCATATCGCACCGCATTCGTACCGCTGCCCCCCGATGCGCACATTCCACCGATCTGAGCGCCAGGTCCCGGATCCACGGGAAAAAAGAGCTGCAAACCGAGCGATTTGAGGTGCGCATTCAGATCTTCGTATCTGAGCGAGGAGGGAAAGGCGCGATGGGGGGCAATGGCATGAGTGTACGGAGTTGGATGCGCTTGTGAGTTATCCTTTCGCTCGCTCGCCCGCTCAGACTGACCTGAGACCAGGCTGCACATGAACATCGCCATCCTCCGCATTCACGCTGATCACGCTCGCCATGTCCCTCCAATCGACGCAGACAGCACCGTGCAGAGCAGCATGGGCTTCCAAGGATGTTCCTCCGGCATAAGGGACGATGGGCGTGCGGGTATGGGAGCAGATGCGCACCACATCCACCACATCCTCCACGCTTGCAGGGTAGATGATGGCCAAGGGCAGTGCGGCTGGGTGATAAGACCATGGACTTGCACCGTGCACCTCCAAATCCTCCAACTTTGTCGACACTTGCTTGCCGAATCGTTGATGCAATCTGGCTATGCAGGATGATGCCTGCTCCTGCTCCTCCTCTATCCAAGCATCCCCATCGGCAAACACCTTTTCTCGATTGAAGCCGACGTAACACACACCGAATAGCGCAGCGGTGGATGAGAGACCTTGCAAGAGACGAGGTGCATCTTGTTGCTGTTGTTGTTGTTGCTGCTGCTGATGCTGCTTCTTGTCGCCGCGGTGCTGCTCGCCTTGATGCTCATCTCGCAACACAGACGAGCTGCTTAACCAGCGCGAGCGCGAGCGCGAGTGCGCCGATGCCAGACCAGCGTGAGCAATCAGAATGCGTGCTGGTGGAAGTGCGAGTCTGCTCGTTGCGCATGCTGCTGGCGCAATATGAATCAGCTGATGTGCGATGGCGATGCTGGAACAGGTTGATGTTGGGCGCATGATGCATGTGCAGTCAGGGAGCGCGGAGGGCGTGCGTGCGTGAATGTGGGGCGTCACGTGCTGAATCAAATGACTGAATCAAGATATAAATAAAGTCGTGAGTCGTGAGTGTAAGGAAGGTGATGATGGTGATGACGCTGCTGCTGCTGCTGCTGCTGCTGCTGCTGCCGATCCAGAAGGCGCAAGGGCGCGCGCACAGCCAGCTTAGCCCGCCTAGTCAAGACTCACGTACGCGCTCAGGCAATTAAGCAGCAGTTTTGAGTCAGTCACGACTCGTGAATCTCAAGTCCCGCGGGGCCATCATGCGCGTCACGATCGCGCCGTCACGTGAACGTGCTCGAGCCATGCAACTCGTACTCACGACTCACGACTCACGACTCACGACTCACAACTTT